AAGCAGCTGGGACTCTAGACACAGAGAGGGAGAGGGGCTGTGTGCTGATGGGGGGTGGGCAGGCTTGTAGGATATACCATTTGGTTGGTTGATGATGCATGGAGGGGATTGTAACCATGGAAATGAAAGGATATATGATAGGATGAATGTAAAACTAATGTTCTCCCATGTAAACGATCACATAATTCACAATAAAACATTAAAAACAACATTAATTTGCTTTTATATTTTACTTTTTATTTACATGACTAAGTAACTGAGAACTAGCATTGTTTGCCAGACCTGGCATTCACATTTTGCTATTATCATTCTTTACCACCTCCTGTGTGGCACTGTAAGATAAGCACTGGACTGCTAACCACAAGGTCAGCGGTTCAAACGCACCAATCATTCCTCGGAAACCCTATGCAGGATCTCTATGAGTCAGAACGGACTCAAAGGCATTTCACAACAACCACCACCTCTCTGTCGTGGGAGACAGACGAGGCTTTCTGGTCCATAACAATTTACCGTCTTTGAACGCTTATACAGGATTGCTATGAATTGGAACAGACTCCACGGCACACCACCACCACCACCACCACCACCACGAGTTGTAACTGACTTCACAACAGACAGCACCACCATCACCACTCTCAGTGTGTGGTACTGTGATGGCTTGCTTGTTGCTAGGATTCTAGAAGCTATGCCACAAGTATTTCAAATAGCAATAGGATAGGTTTCAACAGTTCCACACAGACTGGAAACAAAGTCCTGGTGATCTGTTTCAAAAAATTATTAATGGCACTAAACCAGGCAACATTTTCTTCTGTGTATATGGGGTTGCCATGACTGCTAGCTGACTCCAAGGCAACCAGCATTATAAGGTTATTGTATGTACATTTTGGAGGGTGCAGTAGTTCTATAGGAGAAGCACTAGACTGTTAACCACAAGGTTGCCAGTTTGAGCCTACCAGCTGTTCTGCAGGAGAAAAATGAGGCTTTCTGCTCCTGTTAAGACTTATAACCTGGGAACCCTACTCAGGGTCACTATGAGTTACAATCAACATGATGGCACCTAACAACAACAACATGCATGTACGTTAGTGACAGAAACAATGAGTTAAACATTTCCAAAACAAGCACCAAAGCAAAGGGTTTTAATGCGTCATCATTCCACAGCTTGCTTTTATTTTTTTAAAGCACATTCTTTCTTATGCTTTCAAAACCATCTTTCTAAATATATGCACACTAGTGATGGACCTCCGGAAGAACTAACCTATCTGTGTGGGAAGAAGTACAGCCAGAGTGCTTCTTAGAAGCCAGGATGGCCAGACTTCGTCTGGAACATGTTATCAGGAGGGACTAATCCCTGGAGAAGGGGTCATGTTTGGTAAAGTGGAGGGTCAGCGAAAAAGAGGGAAGCCCTTAATGAGATGGAATGACAATGTGACCGCAGCAATGGGCTCATGTTTAACTAAAGTGAGGATGGGCAGAGTTTTCTTCTGTGTGCATAGGGCCACTATGAATTGAAACCGACTCAACAATACCCAGCATCCATCACTGCAACAACAGTGATAGAATTGTATGTAGATAATTTAAAGTGACAGTGCCACTTAAAACCAAATGGCAATCACTTGTCTGTCAGTTTGTCATACTGTGGTGGCTTGTGAGTTGCTGTAATTCTGAAAGCTATGCTACTGGTATTTTAAATACCAGCAGGATCACCCATGGTGGACAGGTTTCAGATGAGCTTCTAGACAGAGACAGACTAGGAAGAAAGAGTGATGAACTACTTGCGAATATTTAGTCACTGTAAACCCTATGACTAGCAGAGAAACACTGTCAGATATATTGCTAGAAAATGAGCCCCTCAGGTTGGAAGGCACTCAAAATGTGACTGGGGAAAAGCTGCCTCCTCAAAGTAGAGTTGACCCTGACGATGCAAATGGAGTAAAGCCCATGGGAGAAAAAG